CACCGTCCATGCCTAGAACTTAACCTCTTCTGAGAGTTGAGGTAACGGAGGGCTTCGTGGTCCGAATAAAGGACAAATTCTTGAGGCAACAAGTAGTGGCGCCAATAGCGCAAAGCTTGGACCACCGCATACAGTTCCTTATTATACGTTGAGTATCGTCGTTTGGCCTCATTTAACTTTTTGCTGAAATAGGCGACAGGGTGACGATCCTGACTTAAGACTCCGCCTATACCTACCCCAGAAGCGTCACATTCAACTTCAAAGACTTTGGAAAAATCGGGAAGACGCATGACAGGAGCTTCAGTCATTCGCTCCTTGACTAACTTAAAGGCCTTCGCCGCCCCTCGTGTCCAATGAAACTCCCCTTTCTTCATGCACTCCGTGATAGGCGCCATAATAGAGCTAAAAAAATCTTAATCTAATCAAATAAAGAAAGTATAGTCCTAATTAAATAAAAGATAAAAGTCCTATCACAACTATACCTAGTAGGAAATAATGTTTATCTTAATACTTTCCTTTCCTAAATAGTTTTTGGACTTTTTCTTAGTATTGTCATGTATTATTTTAATCGAGGTTCAAGAAGTGTAGAGGATTATTATAAGGAGATGGAAATAGCTATGATTATAACGAATGTTGAGAAGGATCGAGAAGCCACAATGGCTGGGTTTTTGAATGGTTTGAATAGGAAAATAGCTAATGTAGTGGAATTACAATATTATGTGGAGTTGATGGACATGTTACATGTGGTTATAAAGGTCGAGAGGCAATTAAAAGAAAATGAGCAGCTAGGTATTCTTTAGGTTCTAATCCTTCTTGAAAATCAAAGTGGGATAGTAATAGAAGTGATAGAGCTATTTAAAAGGTCAAGATCGAGCCACTAAGGAGAAAAAAGAAGTAGCTAGCAAAATAAAACCCAAGCTAGATTCCCAACATTCTAAGAATAGGGTATCAAGAATTTTAGATGCTTGGGTTCAAGGCATATCACTTCTCAATACCCAAACAAAAGTGCAATGATCTTGTGTGATAATGGAGAAGTGGTGAGTAATAGTGATAGTGATGAGATGCCCAAATTGGAGGATGGTAGTGACAATGATGGAGTAAAGTACCCGGTGATAGGTGAAACATTTCTTACGAGACGACTCTTAGCATACAAATCAAGGTGGATGACATAAAGTAGCAAATGGAGAAGATTTTTACACTAGGTGCCATGTCAAAAACAAGCTATGTAGTATGATTATTGATTGGGGGAGTTATACCAATGTTGCTAGTACTACTCTTGTAGAAAAATTGGTTTTGACTATGCTAAAACATCCTAGATCCTATAGGTTGTAGTTGTTGAGTAAATGTGGAGAGATCAAGGTTAATAAGCAAGGTTTGGTGAGCGTTATTATTGGAAGTATAGTGATAAGGTGATGTGTGACTTGGTTCCTATGTATGGTAGGCATATCTTGTTGGAGAGGCTATGACAGTATGATAAGAAAGTGCTACATGATGGGTACAAAAATAGGTGCAACTTTATCAAAGTTGGAAAATTTGTTACTCTTGTTCCATTAATACCAAAATAATCTATGAGAATCAATTGAAATTGAGAGGTGAGACGGAGAAAATCAAGAAGAGGCAAAAGGAGAGTGACATTGATAAAAATAGTGAGATAGCTGAAAAAAGAGAGAGAAAATAGTGCAACCACAAGAGAGAGGAAAGAGAGTCTTGAAGGAGAAAAGAAAGGTAAATAAAAGAAAAAAGTTTCTTTGCAAAAGAAAGAGAAATAAAGAGGACTTACTACAAGAAAAAAGGCCTTCCGCAACATGTAAAAGGCAACATTCGCCAATTGCATGTTGCTAAAGGAGTCTATTGCAACATTCATCAAGTGTATGTTACTATTGGTTGACTAAATTGAGTTTTAACAATATTTTTATAAGGAATGTTGCTAATATACCATCTTGCAATGTTCAAAGTCCGTTGTCATTGAATTTCTTTTTGCAACATGCAATGCACGTTGCTATTAAAGTTTTAGTAACGTGCGTAAGCATTGTCGTTATCTGTTTTAGCAACAAGTAGTGTGTGTTGCTATTAGATATTTTAGCAATGTTTTTTTAAACATTGCCATTAAAATTTTAGCAACGTGCAATACACATTGCGATTAAACATTTTGGGCCCAATCCCCAAAGGCCCATTTTTATTTGTTTGTTTAATTTAAGGGAAATTTTCATAAGTAAGAAGATAAGTATCTACCATTTCAAAACTAAGAACAAAAGTTTCAAATTTCAAAAATCAGATATTTTTTAAATTTAATTTATGATTTAATTAACTAATTATATATTTTATTAATTAAATATATTAAAATCATAGATTTATGTACTTTGGTCACAAATTGACGTTTTAGATAGTTACATGTTATTTTTCGATCATAGACTCATAAATCAGAATTTTTATATGTCACGAATTATTTTTATTGTCACAATTACATATTTACAGGTCAAACTTTATTGGTCACATATTTCATCAATCATATATTTTGTCGATCACATATTTTATCAGTCACATATTATTTGTTGGTCACAAATTAGTTAATTTATTGGTCACAATCATTCAAAATATTGGTCACAAACCACTTCACCATCGCACCCTACCCTAGCCCCATCCCACCACCACCATCGCTGCCACAACCACCACGCCGTTGTGCCCTGCCTAACCCCAATCCACAACAACCACCACCTCTGTCGCCAGTACACTACACCATAAATAATCGCCACACCATTACCCCCCCGTGCCACTGCCTACAGAATCACCGCCTCTTCGTGACAGCAGTAACAGCCCACAACATCCACAAATCAATCTGAAAATGTCATCACGACCCTAACGCAACATCACTATCATTTTCCATTAACCATGCACTATCGTGAAATAAACACAAATCACATAGCTATCTTCGTTTGGCGCCACCACCATCAACATCAATACGGTGCCTCAGTCTCCATGTCACACCTCTCTATACATCGCACCCAACAATCTATTGCATATAGCACCGTACCCAATCACCCATCACCACTGTACATGGAGAAAACGACCACGATTTGCAGCGTGCCCTACCTTCGAGCGGCGGCGGCGATTTGAGAGTAGAGAGATGGATGGTGAAGAGAGAAAAGGAGATGGCGGTGGCGCACATTGGAAAAGAGAGAATGAAGAGGAGAAGGGAGAGAGAAATTTCATTCTAGGGTTTGAATACGGATGGATATGGTAGGGTATATGTATATAGATTAATTTATAATATTATTATTAATATTAAAATATTAATTTATAATATTTAAATTAATATCTAATTTTTGTATAAATAAACATTGCATCTTGTTTTTGAAATTGGATCTTTTAAAGTGGGTCTATATGTAATTTCCACTTAATTTAACTCTATCTCAAGCTCAGCCAAGACAAGAAGTAAGGCTCTATAGCCGTTAGCCCAATCAGCATAGTAACACCCATTCCCCATTGAGAGTCGTAACATTTTCCACACGAGGCCAACCTTATCATCTCTCATTTTTTTCCATCCTGCAGCTACTGCTGCCGTCGCAGCCATAGATCTGACGTACGCAGCATGACAGTGCAAAGCTGCCCAACTTAGCGTTTAATATTGTTTACATTTCGTACATTTGATTTTGGCATTCGAAAATCTGATACAGGTATTCAATGTTTTCCTTTGAAATTTGTTGTTTGTTTTGTTGTGATGAAATCAGTAGGTTCTTAATCCTTTCAATTTGTAGTTGTACTTGGAGTATCAAAATTCGAAAACTTGACTTGAAACAAAAAAGGGCTTCTATTAATTCTTCTACTGGTATTATTCTGACTTTTCAAGCAATATTTCTTTTGCCAGCAGTTCTTTTTTTTTTCCTACCAGTATTGATTTTTCTATCACGTTATTGTTTTTACTTTTTTCAAGCATGTGATGCATGATAATTCTTGGCTCTACTCACAAGTAAGATCTTTCTAGTGGCCAAAGATCCTTCTTGCATCCATTAAGTGCTGTTATAGTGCATAATAAGAGGCAACAGAGAATCCCTATAGATCAGGTAAATAGAACCATGATCACTCCAGAATAGAATCAGCTGTAAATAATTATAGATGTATTTGCAATTCTTATTGCTATTTGTATCTGACAATAGATTGCACAAAATAATTACGATAGTATATATAATTATACCATCCTGGATCATGCAATCTATTTTTAGCAAAAGGGAAGATATTTTTTTTTCTCTAAGCTTATCCATTGTTTTTGTAATAGGACGGACACTTGTATCAGTTGTGACAAGTGGAAGTAAAAGATTCTTTTGTGTAACTGATAGTGCTCCTCCTGTGAGAAGAAAAATGGAGTGCTCTTGCGGATGTGCTGGTATTTATAATGCACCCATAGCCTTGTCAGTTAAAGCAAAGATTTTTGAAGACGTAATTTCTTTGGAAATCTCCTTTTCCTAATATTGCAGAACTATTGGAGTGATTAGCAGGATTCTAGTGTTGATGTTAAATTATAGCAACAGATCTTTCAAGTACTTTGTGCTAGTTTTGTGTTGTAGACAATGTGAACCTGTTTTATGTAATGATGTCACAGTATAAATAGTATTGCTAGCTTGTTAAACACTTTCTTAGGCTGGCTTTGATTGCACATGTAATTATTATTGTGGAACTTGGTTGCTTTCCTGTTAAGTGCTCACCTAAGGTTAATGGGTTTGTCATGCTTTTATACGTCAAAAGCCGAATTTCTGAACAATCCAAACTTCGATGACATGTTGCTGGGAACATTAAGTTGATTGTAAAAATCCTTGTTGTTGATCCTTTCTACATAGTGATAAGAGACAAGTGAAAATAATGTAACTTTCGTTGTTGCATAGTTTTGTAAGTATAAAGAAGATGGTGTTTCAATAGAAGATAGAAGACTAGGATGATAATTTTAGTTACATTTGATTTGAGACTAATAGAAAGCTTTTCATGTTTTAGACTTTATTAAAAAGAATAAACTCAAATTTCTCATGTTGCTTACCTTTACTAACGCCCACCTTTCCTTTCAGAGTTGGCAACTTTGGTCGAACAATTGAAGTCATCATTCATGTGTCTAGAGCTCGTAGCTTAGAACTTGTGTGATTTTTCCCTTTTCCCATGATATATTGTATCGACATGCTTGATAGCATTTCAAATTTATCAAATGAGAGAACTTATGCTTTTTGGAACTTGTGGAATGTAAATTTAAGGGATAAAATTAAACTAATATAATCTACTACCGTTTTATGCTTTTACATGTAAATCTCCAGCAGGTTTTGTTCATGTAAATCTCCAACAGTCTACTATCATGACACCATCCATAATGTATTGATACTTGATATCATTTTGTGCTTTTACATTGGTTCTTATTGTTTTTCTATGTTTTTTCTTTTCCAATCGGTTTCGGCGTTTGTACCTATTTTCAATCCTATAAATTGTCCCTGGGTCAAGAAGCTTTCATAAATTACTTGGGTGAAAATAAAGTTATGTGGCAGTATGATTTTTGATTGGCTATGAACATGGTTGACTAAGCTTAATGTTTACTTATAGTAAACAAGTAAGCTACTTATTTTGATAGTGAGATGAATTGTAAAAAGTTATTCAAAATAAGTAACTTTATTTATTTAAAGAAATTACTTTTACTTATTCGTAAGCTTTGAATTTGTATTGTGTTGTTTAGTGTTTGATAGAATAATAATGGACAAAGCATGGATGCAATTATCAAGATTTTGTCTGAAATAAGATCTTGTGAATCTACTTACAACAGTATTATAACTAAAAAATAATGTTAGATAAGAGAAATTATGTTACATTGTAAAATGTAGTTGAGGATTATCATTTTGGGTTTTGTATCATTATGGTGAGAGTATGTTCTAATTATTATGTACAATTTACTTATGAAGATATTGTCGAATTTTGCATATGGCACTCGTTTAAGTTTGTTGTCCATGCATGCTTAAGATAACAAAATGGAGAAGTGAATATCAAAAAATGATGCCCAGTGAATCTAAATATATGGATGACCTTTTTTTTGCTTAAAATGGCAAGAATCTATATTTTTGCATAGCCCCAATCATTTTTCTTAGCTAGGCCCAAGAAAGAACACTTAAATTCTTCATATATTTAGTTCCTTTAGCAATAACTTGTGCATTTCTTATTGTTATCGTCATCGACAAGATAAAAAGCAAAAGGAACTGTATGAAGTGCCGAAGAATGATCATTCAAACCGTTGTAGTGCCGAAACACCGTACCCAAAGGTACCATTTCATTTAAACATTTATAAAAAAATCAGATTTGAAAACGAATGAACACTTGCACCTCTATCTATCTTGAATTTTCTTGGATAAAAGAACAAAATGTATAGAAAGCCTTCCTTCTTCTCACCCTTGTTATTCCTTAAGCTTAACTTGATATGAAATATATTTTTTTGAGAGAAAATGAGATGAAATTCGGATTTGAAAAGGAGTGTAGTTAAAAAGTGACCTTCCACTTCTATAACCTTTCTTTTTAATCAAAAATTAAGTGGGAGAGTTGTATTATCATTAAATTTATTAAACTTAGTCTTTAACTAAGAATTTGAAGAGTCTCTAAGCCATAAAAATAATTCATATAAAAGTTTTATAAAAAACATCTACAAGGTGATTCGAACCTGGGTTGCCTATATGAAATACCATATAGATGATCATTGTGGCAACCTAGTTATTCATTAAATTTTTGTAATCAATTTTACTTAAACTTAATCTCTTAATTTGTTGGGCTTTTAATTAACTTATGACTTGGGCTTTCGTAATCTTACATGGGTTGAGCTTCCATAAGTCATTTCTAAAATGGGTTAGGCTCGTGGTGCTAGATCATCACAAAATATTAGCATAATTCCATTTTATTTTTCTCGGCTACTACAACTCTTACACCTTAAATAAAATTTCATCCTCGAAATTTACCTTATGATTGGACAAAGAGTGTTGGGTATTTGTCTTTAACTTCTTCTTTTCTTTCTCAAGTAGCTTCTTCTACTCCATGATTATTCCATTGCACCTTGACCAGTTGAATCTCCTTGTTTCATAATTTATGTACCTTTCGATCCAGTATCTTGATCGGTAATTCCTCATAAGATAAGTCTTTTTGTACTTCCAAGGATTGGTAGTTGACCACATGATCAGGATCATGCATATACTTTCTGATCATCGATACATGAAACACATTGTGAATTGTCGATAGTTCAGGTGGCAACGCCAATCGATAAGCCACATTTCCAATCCTGTCAAGTATTTCAAAAGGTCCGATATAACGAGGTCGTAGTTTGCTTTTCTTGCCGAACCTAAGTACACCCTTTATTGGTGCCACCTTTAGAAAGACTTTTTCTCCAACTTCAAATTCCAAGTATTTTCTCCTGGTATCTGCATAGCTCTTTTGTCTATCTTGCGCGGCCTTTATCCCGGTACGGACCTTATTAATGGCTTCAACTATTCTTTCAATGATCTCTGATCCCAAAACTCTCTTTTCTCCAACTTCGTCCCAATAAACAGGTGATCTGCATTTTCTACCATAGAGAGCTTCATACGGTGCCATTCCAATAGTTGCTTGGAAACTATTATTATTTGCAAATTCTACCAGAGGTATATATGATTCCCAACTGCCTCCTAGATCCAGAACACAAGCCCTTAGCATATCTTCCAAAGTTTGAATGGTCCTTTCAGACTGACCATCAGATTGAGGGTGATATGCTGTACTGAAATTCAATTTCATTCCCATAGCTCCTTGTAAGCTCTTCCAAAACTTTGAAGTAAATCTCGGATCTCTATCAGATACAATGGACACGGGGACACCATGCAATCTTACAATCTCTCTAATGTACAATTGCGCCAGCTGATGTAGACTGAATGTCATTTTTACTGGAAGAAAATGAGCGGACTTTGTTAGACGATCCACTATTACCCATATAGCATTCTGTCCTCTTGCTGACCTTGAAAATCCTACCACAAAGTCCATTACGATATTCTCCCACTTCCATTTAGGTATGTCTAATAGATTTAATAACTCTGCCGGTCTTTGATGTTCCGCTTTAACTTGTTGACATACTATGCATTTTGCCACAAATGAACCTATACTTATTTTCATATTCCTCCAACAAAATGTATTTCGAAGGTCTCGATACATTTTTGTACTACCAGGATGTGCGGCGTACGGGGTAGAATGAGCCTCTTCCAATATCTCCTTCCTCAAAACTTCATCATTTGGTACACAAATTGTTCCTTTAAATATTAGTGCCTGATCTGAAACTATTCCAAAATCTTTTCTCTTCTCAGTACCAATTTCGTTCTTGATCTTCTGCAAGAATGAGTCTTTATCCCGTGCTTCTATGATCCGATCTCTAAAAGTAGGTCGAACCACCAAAGTTGCTAAATGAGCAGTGACTTGTTCTGGTGTGATAATCACTTCAATTTGCAACTTTTCCAAGTCTTTGATCAACTCCATCGAAATAGTAGGTAATGATGCCAACTGTCCCATCGACTTTCTGCTTAGAGCATCAACAACAACATTAGCCTTGCCCGAATGATAATGAATAGTGCAATCATAATCTTTCACTAGCTCCAACCATCGTCTCTGTCTCATATTCAATTCCTTCTGTGTGAAGAAATATTTGAGACTTTTATGATCCGTATAAATATTGTACTTCCCTCCATATAAGTAATGGCGCCATATCTTTAATGCATGAACCACTGCCGCAAGTTCTAGATTATGCGTCGGGTAGTTCTGCTCATGTTGCTTCAATTACCTTGAAGCATAGGCAATTACTTTTCCATACCGCATCAGTACACATCCCAAACCTTGCTTGGATGCATCACTATATATAATAAACCCTTCTAAACCTTCAGGTATGGTTAATACAGGTGCTGTGATCAATCGTTGTTTTAGCTCCTGAAAGCTTTGCTCACACTTATCTGTCCATTGAAACTTTACTCATTTCCTTGTAAATTGTGTCATTGGTCCAGCTTATTTGAAGAATCCCTCTATAAATCTTCGATAGTACCCAGCCAATCCTAGAAAACTTCGAACTTCACCAGCATTAGTCGGTGTCTTCCAATTAGTTACCGCTTCCACCTTTACTGGGTCCACTTCAATTTCTTGAGCAATAACTACATGATCGAGAAATCCAACTCGTTCAAGCCAAAATTCGCTCTTTTTGAATTTGGCGCATAACTTTTCCTTGCGTAGTATCTCTAACGCTATTCTAAGGTGTTCCTCATGTTGATCTTTACTCTTGGAATATATCAAAATATTATCAATGAAGACTATAACAAATTGATCCAAATACTGATGAAATACTCGATTCATCAGATCCATGAACACTGCCAGAGCATTTATCAATTCGAATGGCATAACTGTGAACTCGTAATGTCCATAACGAGTTCTGAAAGTTGTTTTAGGTATATCATCTGCCTTAACCTTCAATTGATGATATCTAGATCTAGATCGTAAATCGATCTTAGAAAATGCCTTAGCCCCTTTTAATTGATCAAACAAATCCTCAATTCTAGGGAGAGGATACCTATTCTTGATGGTCAAACGGTTCAACTCCCGATAATCAATACACATCCTCATACTTCCATCTTTCTTCTTTACAAACAATACTGGTGCGCCCCATGGTGATACACTTGGTCGAATAAAACCAAGGTCTAACAATTCTTGTA